TCATTGTGGTGCACCTGCTCCCTCTTGTGGCCACTTCTGGGGAAACACCCTGAGGTTTTACCCTATTACTCGTCGACGTCGTCTCTATGGTAACGTGTAATTCTTTCTTGCACAGTTTCAAACATGTTTTGTTTCTGATGCCTGTAACAGATCATAATTGGTTTCTAGGTATTATTTAAGAGTGTGGCAAATTATAAAGATAGTTAGATGTCAATGGTCTAGGAACTGGTACTTCTCCACCACGTCTGGGATCTAAACACCACAGAGGTCACTCAATATTTGCTGTTCAACACTCTCTAACAGCAATGGAGTTGCTGTAGTGTGATTAAGATTGGGGTCCACAGCAATTCAGTTATTCTTTGCTTCACCACATTTTTGTTGTCCTCTTTCGATGATAATCTCTGGGGCAGTTTCTCTCTTGTCTGTCCCATTGGTGTCCCTCAGCTCCCCTGGGATGGATTGGGAGGACAATGTGATGGCTGCACAGGAAAACTGGTCTTCAAGTTTTTACTTCTGATTATATCTGAGCTTCTATCCATTTAGTAATCTCAAGGGAGCAGGGTGGTGCCTGCCCGATGATTATGAAGGAAGGGATCACCTTCTGTCTTCCCTAAACCAAGTACTCCCTGCATTTTTAAGCATGTTTCAGCCAATATATAGAAAACTTCAAATTGTTGTTTCAAAACAATATTGAATACAGAATCAGAAGACTGAGGGCAGTGTCTTTGTTCTCTGCTTTGCTCTTTGGTTCCTCAAAAGGCAATGCACCTGCATTCTCTAGGGCTTTGGGAGTGACCTTTGGGTGTGTCTCTTTGTCACTTTCCCCTTTCTCCTCTTCCCCAGGGTTCTCAATTCTCTGTCTAGTCCAGCAGTTCTCATATTTTTTGGTCAAAAAATGAATGATTGTTCCTTTTTTCAACTGCAATCAATTACCTTATAATTTTTGAAATAATAATTCACACAATTAAATTACACTCACTTTTACAGGAAAAATTTTCATCTTACTGTTTACCACAGATTACTACACGTTCTGACCAAAGTCCTTCAGGAGAGTATCACAGTGCTCACCTAGATTCTCTCTGTTCCCTGAGTTTCTCTCAGAAAGAGGAAACACAATTTCATTTTTACCCCTTTTTGCAACAAATATGTATTGAACCCCACCTGTGAGTCAGGCACTGTGCTAAATACTAAGTTTGAAAATAAAAATAAAGAAGGAAAGAAGAGAGAGAAAGAGATAGAGAAAGAGAGAGAAATCTTGCATGATTCACAGGAGAGACTATGAATACTCCGGCTGTGTTTATTTATTCAGAAGCAGAGCAGATGGAGCTGGCAGAGTCCACAGTCCTGTCGGGGGAGAGAAGTAGCCGTGGAGCAAAACTTCTTGTCCCGGGGCCACAGCAACCCCTTGTTCTAAACTTAGGCGGCATATTCCATGCAGCCATTGCCTTTAAAGAAGAATGGAAAATATGTATGCACATAAATACCCACGCCCTTGTCAAAATCAAAATTTCTAACTTGAGTACAATATTTATTTAAAGTTCTTTTTGTCTTTAGCCCTCATGGAAACAATCAAAATACTTCTGATGTTACTCACATTACTCCTTTCCTCCCCAATCCATACCCCTGGTTATGTGACTCATTTATTTGTAATGGATTTGGCTTCATTTACCTTTGTTTATATTCCATTTGGATATTGCTCATCATTGTTGATTTCAGTTATATATTTTTTGAAATTGTGTAATATTTATATAGTCCCCAAAGATGTAAATTTACAGAAACAAAAAAGGTATGTTCAGGGATGTGTCACATCCCCATCCCTCTATCCTATTGCCATTCTCTATCCCTTAACCCTACCTACAACCTCCTCCCTCTTACCTCCTCCTCCCCAGTAAGCAATCCCACTCTGGTTTAACCCCCCAGGTTGGGTGTGTTGTTGTTGTTGTTGTTTTAATCTCTCCTGCCATGTGCTAGCAGCAGGAAAGGTAACACACTGTAGACAGGTGTTTGTACTTTGCTTTTATGTTTAACAGGATATCCTGGAAGTCACTCCATATCAGTTCCTAGAGATCTTCCTCCTTTTTACAGCTGAGGCATACACCTTTGTGTGGATGTACCATGGTTTTCTCTACCATTCTTTAGTATGTGGGCATTTTTTACGTTGTCAATATTTTGCAAACAATTACAAACTATCCTGCAATAAATAGCCCTGCGCATATGTACTTGCAGTGTTGGAGGTGTCAGATTCCTGGAAATGGAATTATGATCAGAAGTTAAACACTTAACTTTGTTTGTAGAGATTGTCATATTGTCCTCCAAAAGGGTAGTAGTAGTTTCCATTCTCACAAGCTATTAATGAGAGTGTTTGTTTCTCCATAAGTTTGTCTAAGACTGTGCTTCATAATTTTTTAATTTTCTCAAAACTAATAGATGAGAAATGCTATCTCAAAGTAGTTTTGATTTCATGTCTCTAATTATTAGCAAGATTGAACATCTCTGAATGAATTCAAAGACTATTTATATGTCTTCTTTGGTGAATTGTGTGTTCTGTGTTTTCCACCTTTTCTCTTACACGTTTTGATGCTTCGCTTTAACTTTTTTTTGTGTGTGTGAAGAAGATCAGCCCTGAGCTAACATCCATGCCAATCCTCCTCTTTTTGCTGAGGAAGACCGGCCCTGAGCTAACATCTATTGCCAATCTTCCTCCTTTTTTTCCCTTTTTCTCCCCAAAGCCCCAGTAGATAGTTGTATGCCATAGCTGCACAACCTTCTGGTTGCTGTATGTGGGACGCCACCTCAGCGTGGATGGACAAGCAGTGCGTCGGTGTGCGCCCAGGATCCGAACCTGGGCCGCCAATAGCAGAGTGCGCACACTTAACCACTAAGCCACCGGGCCAGCCCAACTTTTTAAGATAATTCTTAAATATTAGAATTTTAATCCCTTATTTGTATAATATATTAATGATAATTTCTCCTAGTTTTCGGCTATCTTTTGATTTTGTTTAATGTTTATTTCTTTTTTCCATGAGATTTTTTTTTTTTTATCTAATCCTGTACATAAAATTCACTAGGAATTGATTTGGTATATGGGAGTAGTATTGGTCCATTTTCTTCTCAGTAGTTCTTTACTTGTATATTATTTTATTATGCTTTGAGTACCCTAGAGAATTACAACACATATCCTTGGCTTATCATGTCTTATATAACTCAATACCTTACGACTTGGCAGACAATGCAGGATCTTAAAAACTCTAACCCAAATTACATCCACATCTGCCTTCCTTGTATTTTTTAAAAATTTTAATTGATCATATATTTTAATTCTACATATATTTAGATATCACAAAATGATATTATTTTTGATACAGGCAAAATTTATGTGAGCTTTCTGACATAGTTGTTATTTCTGTTCCTTTACACTTCTTTTTAAATCTCTGAATTTACATCTGGAATTACTTTTCTTCTCCCTGAAAAACTCCCTATAGAATTTCTACTAGTGGAAGTCCTCTGGTGTTTAATTCTGTAGGTATCCGTTGTTCTGAAATATATTTATTCTACCTTCATTGTGAAAAGTATTCTTACACAGAATACTGAATTGGTGGTTCTTTTCTTTCCACACTTAGAGCATATATTTTATTGTCTTCTGGCTTCCACTATAAATGCTAAGAAGTTATTCACATTTTTATTGCTGCCCCCTCCCCCCACCTCCCTCTCTGGTTTTGCTTGTTTGTGTCTTTTCAGGATTGGAACTAAGAGAGGCCTAGGTTTATTTTATTTATTTATTTTTTTGGTTTTATCTTCTTTAGGATTCATACATTACCTCAGTCTACCATCGGGTTTAAAATTTCCCAGCTTTTAGTCTTCAAACACTATCTGTCTGTACTGTCTCCTCTTCCTCTTGAACTCTAGTTATAGGTACCTTTGATTTTTTCATTATATCCTTCATGCTCCTTAGCCTTTGATAGTCTATTTGTTGCTCCAAGCTTCTGATGTACATGTCTCTTCTTGTTTACCATTTCACTTCCCAGCTGCGTCAAATCTGCTGTTAAACTTATCTCTTGAGTTCTTCACTTTTTATATACTATTTCTTGAATTTTTTCTTTCTTATTTTTAACAGTTTCTGGCTCTCTGTTAAAATCATCACCTTAGCACTTAGTGTATTAAACATATAATATCTGATTACCCCAACATGTGTAAATACTTTGGGTCTGTTTCAACTGTCTGTTTTTCCCATTAGTATTATATGCTTGTGTATTTTTGACTGAAAATCAGTGTGCGTTTTACTTACTTAATATTTATGTAGGTTTATGCACATATTTTCCCAAAACATCTGGACGTGATTTTAGGCTCTGGAAAGATTTTTATCCTCCAAAGAGGATTTACTTTTGATTCTGGCAGGCTGAAATGCTAGGCATATATAATCCTAATTCAATCAGGGATTGCACTAATTCGAGCATGGGCTTCAGTGCTGATGAAGCCTTGCGATTCCTGATTTATCCCTCCTACTTGGGTGTAGCCCTTCCAAGATACCAACTGAAGATCTTGGTGTTTGTCAGGACACCTCCTTCTTTGCAATCCTTGTAGAAAGATGTTTAGAAATGACCTTGTGAGATTGTTGAAATCTCTGCTTGGCTCTGAGGACTCTCATCATCTCCTTTCAGATTTTCAGCTTCTGAGCAGCTATTTCTAAGCCAGCAAATGCTTCAAAGTACATAAAAGAGAAAAAAATAGGGCTCATCCATCTAAATTTCTGAATTAGTCTGCTCAAGCTGTGCTAACAAAACACCACAGACTGGCTGGCTTAAACCATAGAAGTTTCTTTTCTCATAGGTCTCGAGGCTGGAAGTCTGAGATTGGGTTCCTGCACGAGTGGTTTCTGGTGAGAGCTCTCTTCCTGGCTTGCAGTCAGCAGCCTTCTCACTGTGTCCTCACATGGTGGAGAGGGAGCAGGCTCTCTGGTGTCTCTTCTTATAACATCGCTAATCCTATCAGATCGGGGCCTCACATTTATGATGTAATATATCTTAATTATTTTCCTAGAGGCCCCATCCCCAAATATGGCCACACTGAGGGCTTCAACATATGAATTTGGGGGGACATAAATATTCAGTCCATAACAGACTCTCTTCTTCTGTCCTTGGCACCTCAAATGCGTTCTCTCTTGGCATGTTTTGTGGTCCCCCATGGCGGTGAGATGCATCATTTTTTAATTAATAGGTATTATGATGAGGCTGTTGACACACCATGTAAAGAGAATTTGACAGAATATTTGTTATTCACACGAGGGAATCCTGGGGAGAGAGGGTGTGCACAAGTTGGTCCAGATTGGGTGGAGAGAGGCAAAGGTTTGGGTTCTTATAATGGCTACAAGATGGGACTGGAGAAAAGTTTCCTTGGGTGTGCTGGGGATTTGAGAGGTTTGAATGTCCCACTGGCAGTTGCACAAATTTGGGGCAGAAGGGAACTTGGGATGTGTGGATTAAAACCCGTCAGCGATCAGACATCAAAAGTGGACTCAGACTTCGTATTACACAGTCCCTTTCTGATGCCTTCAAATATATGTGTTCTTTTGTTGGTGGTGTTTTGTTTTACATTCTGTCCAGCTTTTTATAGTTGTTCTTGGCAGGTTGGTATGAAATCAACTGCTCCGCCATTTAACATAATGAGAGTTTCAAAAAAAGAATCTTCAATTTAGGGAATAATTTGAAAGAAAAAAATATTGTGGAAAAGATTGGATCTACACAAATACGGGATGAATCAAAATGATGATAACTAATATGTATTGAGTGTTTACTACATTTACCAACCAATATTATAAATACATTATAAGTATTCATTTATTTAATTTTATAACTGCCTTATGACATAGTTACTCATTTATTTTCTTTCATTATCGATTTATAAAACAAGAAAAGAAAGTTTAAATAACTTCCCATATTCACAAATCTATTAGACAGAAGAGACAATTCCAACCAAGGGTGTGTGGCTGCAATCTCTGTCTTCTGTGGCAGAAGAAAACAGTGTTACAAAATCCCTTTCACTGAGCTTTCTACCAGATTTCCCCAACTATGAATCTGTGACCACGACAACAGAAAACAAGATGGGTCAGTATACTCTCTTTGTTTAGGATTGTCACACTTGAGAGTTCCCCAAGTTCTTATGTTGTTGATAATAATAATATGTGCTGCATCTTCAGCCTCTAGGATATTGATTTTGAAGTTGAAATGTATATCCGACCATCCATCACTAAGCCAGGCGGGGAGACCAGGGTACAGAAGAAATAACAATGAGAAGTTTCGGAGCCTGTTGTTTTTGTTGGTGTCAGTTCAAGTAGCTACTAATGTCTTGTCTTGACTTACAGCTGATGGATGGCGGACGCTTCTGAAGCTTTGACTGGAAGTTGCAAATAGGGGCAGCACAATGTCCCCATTGGCATCTGAAATTTAAGAAAAAGCATTTAAACACAAATATCACTGAAGTTAAACATATCACACTCTATAATCTTCTCATGTTACTCAAGACTGTGAGAAGTCACATGTCACAGACCCTAAAGAGTACTCAGAAGTCATCTTAGAATGGGAAGAAAACTTTCTTTATCATCACACGGCAACTCCTTGTAATCTCTACCTCATCTGGGATCCAGAGCAGCAGGAGGTAGAGGAATTGAGGGCCTCATGCCCATTCTGTACGTTGCTGAGGGAGACACACGCGCTCAGCCAGGGACCAGCCCCTGGACAAAGGCTTTGATATGTAGCCAAGTACTCTTGTGAAAATGTGCACAGTCATCCTGTGTTGAGATAGTTTGAGTCTTTCAGTTCCAGAGCAGATAAAATCACAGCTTTCACATGGGGATGTCCTCCTCTAGTGTCTTCAGTTAGTAAGGGAATTATGTGGAGCTCCTCACATAATTGTTTAAATTACTAGAACATTTCCTCAGTTCCCAGTTACAGATGAGCTTTATCTGGTGGTGACTACTGTGAATGACACCAAGCATGTCATATGAAACTTATGAGGCAGTGTTCGTCAAGAATAATAATTTCTTACACAGCTATTAATTGGATTTGAGTTCAAACTCCTTGAATGCACAGTCCTTTTTCTGCTATGATCCTAACCTTGGGAATGTGCTGATGAAGTCAAATCAAGATTATGAGTTCAGTTGCCTTAGTAACAGAACTTGAGAATTTAGAGTTGAGGGAAACTACATAGGACAAGAAATTAGAGAATTCTTTACCACAGCCTTACCTGTCATCTTTGAAGGTAATAATACTGTGTGGTTTAAATTCAGGAGAAAAAATCAGAATAAAGTGAAAATAGCAAAGTATTCACCAAAGAAGTTTAATTTAAACTGCCTCAAAGCAGAATGAGAATTGAACAACAGAGATATTCATAAAGATTCATGATTTGTGGTTTCATTTGATAAAGCATTTAAAGGGATAAGAAGTACAGCTTGGGAAAAAAGATTGGAAGCAGGAAGTCCAAAAAGAAAACTTTTGCTATATGGTACCTGAGACATTGCCTGCGCTGTGCCTTATTTTTGAATGGGAGTGTCTACAGCAGTGCCTAGAGCCTATTGCTGTCTCATCATTAATCACAGCCCTTGAAGTGGGAGAAACACTATTCAGGAACTGAGGGCAAGGAGACTCATCCACACAGGACCTGGTTTAGATAATGAGATCTTGTACTTTACCTGTTGCCGTTATGGAAAAACACTTTGTGAGTGTTGGAGGTGACAATTAGTGTATTTTGCAAATGGGAGGAATGTGGAGTGTTTTGGCCAAAGGGTAGACAGTTGCCAATTGTATTTTCTAAGACAGCTCTCCTAAGATCTCCCATCCTACAAGTTCCTCTAGTAGTGTGATGGTGACATCTCCTATTGAATCTATTGGCATGTTTCTTTTCCCTTTGAGCCTAGATGGGCCTATAACTGTGGTGGAAGTAACACTACATGTCTTCTGAGGACATAAGAGGTTATAAGAGGCTGTATAGCATCGACCTGGTGCTCTTGAGGGAAGTGTAGATGGAGCCAAATAGCCACACTTACAGGCTAACTACCCTAGAGGAGGACTCAGCCTACATTCAGCATCAGCCACCTTTGAAACGACTCCAGCTGCAGTCACCATCTGTCGGCATCAATGTACGAAACCCCAAGCAGAAATCTTGGTGAGCCCAGGAAACACCTAGAACCATAGAGATAATAGTAAAATAATTACAGTTTTCGTAAGCCATGAAATTTTTGGATTATTTGCTGTGAATCAATAGTAAACAGAATGTCAACTAATAAATAAAGAAGAAATATGGAAGTAGAAATTATCTATTGACACTAAATGAAATTTGAGTAAAGTACATGTGGGAGTTTCTTAAATTACTTTTGTAATTTTTTTTAATTTTGTCATTATGCCAAAATAAAAACAGTTATATAAAATATGATCAAGAAAACCAGAGAGAAGTTACAAAATGTTATTGAAAGAAAATAAAGAAAACCCCAATAAATGGAAGTTTATGCCATGTTCATAAATTGAGAGACTTAATATTATAAATATGATAATTGTTCCCAAATTTGTTTAATACTTTCACAATCAAAATTCCAGAAGATTGTTGTTGAAATTAAAAAGATTTTCCTGAAATATACATGGACATACATTCAAAAAGCTAAAATATCAACATAATCTTGCATAAGAACAACAAATTTGGAAGACTGACACTACAAAATATCAAAGCTTATAAAAATTAACAGTAATTAAAATAGTATGATATTAGTAAACAGTTAGACAAATAAGCCAGTGTAATGAGTTAGAAAATCTAGAAACCAATCCTCACATATGTAGTCATCTGATTTACAGTAAAAGTGCCTCTGTTGTGTATTAGACATTTTTAAAATAAATTACTTGTACTGGATGAATTGGATATCTACATTACATCCAAAAGAGACTTACTCTATTTACCATATACAAATATCAGTTCTAAATGAATCATAAACCTAAATATGAATTCAAAAAAATAATGCTTCTAGAAAATAGTATAGAAACATATATCATGACCGTAGAGATAGGAAAAGACTACTTATAGAAGGTAAACAAAGTACTAAGCATAAAGAAAAACAGAAATAAAATAGACTTTGTTATTATGATTTCATTTTTATAAAATTTAAAACAAATAAATAAAAAATATTATTTGATGAATCTATATGGAAGAAATAAACTACAGAGATAGAAACATACATGATTCAGAGTAGTGATTAACTTGATGAGAGAGAGGTTGGCATAAGGGATTGTGGACAACCTCAAATTGTGTACAAATTATTGTCCTAACATACTTTTTTGATAGAGTCACAGGAACCTATTATATTGCTGAAATTAACAAATGAATGAATTAGTGAGTGTGTGAATAAATAAATAAGAAAAAGTCATGGATGGACTAGTGATGTAAGTATGTCAGAGACATGCACCAAAAATTAAAATTAAATAATTAAACATCATTGATTATTACTGCTAATTGCAATCAATTAATGAACGTAAGTCCCATTAAAAAGAACAGAGGAAGAGAAATACAGAAAGAAAAAAAGAGAAAGAAATGAAAAGGAGAAACAAAGGAACAATACAAGAAAATCGCATGCATGTTCCAGAAGAAAATTTCTGCATAGTGTTTTTCATAATTAATAGAATCAAGGAAAAACAGAACTCAGGGTGAAAATGGAACAAAAATATGTCGTGATTGAAAATGTAAGCATAGACCCATCAGTTCTTCTGGAATATAAGAAAAATAATACCCTGAATGCACCATTAAATACAAAATCTGACTTCTGATTTCCAGTTCTGCAAGTAAGGAGCTTGCAAGTTGCCACTCCACCCTAACAACATGTAAAAAGCTGAACAGGGTGAAAAACCAAAAATCTGACCTGGCATTGCTGACCCTGGGCACATTTTTCTTATGACAAGGAAACAGGCTCTTGAATTGTTTGTTTGTCTATTTGTTTGTTTGTTTTTGCTTACACCGAAAACTCCTTTCCTCTCCATCTGAAGTCCTGTCTCTTTAAGAGGCAAGGCTATCCCTACTGGAGTGGGAATAATTGTAGGAATTTTACCCGGAATCTGTTAGATGCATCTATCTGGCTTTCTCAGATAAACAAAAGCTGAGGAAGTGCATCACCACTAGACCTGTCTTACAGGAAATGTTGAAAAGAGATCTCCTAGCTGAAATAAAAAAACAAAGATATACAAATCTTTAAGGAAGGTGATAAATAGATAGACAGAATTAGAAAATTGCAACTCTGTATCAGAATAAGTTAGTAATTACTTAATTATAACAACAATGTTAAAGGGAAAGAAAGCATTAAAAATAACTATAACCACATCAATTTGGTAATGAATTCACAATATAAAAAGGAATAATTTGTAACAGCAAAAACATAGAAGGGGAAGAGGTAAAGGATGGATCCTGCACAGGCAAATGAAGATAAGACACTATCAGCAGAAAATGGGCTATCTTATCTATGAGACTTTTTATACAAATCTCATAGTAACCACAAAACAAAAATTCAGAGTAGAGTCATGAAATTAAAAAAAAGAGGAAGCTGAGAAACACATCACAGAAAACTACTAAACTGGAATGGCAGACAGAAACACAAGGAGAAGGAAACATTGGAAATATAGAGCCACCAGAAAATAAAAGAGGAAATGGTAGCAGTAAGTCCTCATATATCAATAATCACCCTCAATGTAAATTGATTGAATTCACTAGTCAAAAGACACAGAGTGGCTGGATGGATTACAAAACAAGACTCAGAAATCTGCTGCCCAAGACTGTCTTTCCAGGTCATACAAATCCCACACTGGCTTCCAGTTTTATGGACCCCAAACTAATGGCATCTGGAAACAGACACAAAACTACAATAAACCCCACATCTATAAGTCTTTCCTCATTTAATTAACTAGGATCAAGATTAGAGACACAGAGGAGCCTGTTCCCCATCTGGATTAAATGGTTGTTCTTACACCCTTTTATAAACTCTTATTATTTTTGTCAAGTGTGAAGTGAGCAGTTCAGCAGTCAAGTTTTTAATTGGGAGGGCCGTATTTCCAAGACTAAGACTAGAATAGCTTTAGTGAGCTTCATAAAAAAAGGACATGTCTAAAAAACTCAAAACTTAGTGAGCTGAAAATGAAAGAAAAGAGATAGTATTTTTAACAAATGAAATATCATCCATGTAATATTCTATGCCTATACCCTACACAGTTTCTTATCTTACGATGGACTTCAGAGTTCAAGTTTAATGTTACTTAAGCTCATTATTTCTTTCCATATGGTTTAAATCATATTCATGGAAACTTTCTCAAAAAATAATCAGCCAAATGTCTTCTATAATCTCCTACTTAGAATTGCATTTGCTACTTTATTTCTGTAGACAATGGAGTATAGATGTGGTTTTCATTCCACAGAAATTTCATGGAATGAAAGACTATTTTAATTGTGCCAATATTTTGTTTACGGGTCCGTTAACAGCCCTTGTTAAATGATACAAATTTGGCATTATTTTTCAAATTCAAGTCAACAGTACTTGCATCAGGTTGATATGAGAATCTCAAAGAGAGAAGGAAAAATGGACTGTTTGTTTCTCTACTTTAAAATGGAGGGTGGAGTTCTGATTTAACATGGTGAAATAGGAGGTTCTTGAACTCACCTCCTCCCATGAACACACAAAATCTGCAGCTATGTACGGAGTAATGTCCTCTGAATGAAACCCAAAAACTAGCTGAGTGAATCCTACATATTAGGCATGTGCGAAAAGAAAAAAAAAAAAAAAGTCAAAATGGGTAGGAGATGCTGAGACACAACGTGATATTGTTTGTTTTTATCTGTAGAAAAGCCAGTTTACTCAAGAGATGGACTGTGCACACTAGCCTTTTGGTCTGTAGTTGATATTTCTATTGAAGATGTCTATTCCTTAAAGTGAAAGAGGTACAATTTGATTGAAAATCTCCACAGCATTAACATCTTCTGTCAATTCAAACTTTCCAAAGAAAATTCTTGCACTATCTAAGCCAACTAAATATATGCATATGAACCATCGGTTTTGCTCCATGTAAATTCCTAAATAATCAATGATTGTAGCAAAAACAAAAAATCTCTTAGAAGTTCACCAAAGAGACTTCAAGGAGGATATTGTGTCATGTTTGTAGAGGTAGGGAGTTACAGGAAACCTGAGTATCATTACCGGAAAATTAGGTCTAATGTGGTTATTACCTGCACTTCAATTCAGAGCAGCAATGAGAAGTAACAGATAAGTTGCACCCATAACAACACTGATTGATTTTAAAACATAATTCTCAGTAGACAAGTAATAAGCAAATGATATATTTAATAGGATGATATTACATAGAGTAAAAATATTTACACAAACACACACAAAAAACATATATATTGTAGGAATACATTGGGGAAAAAAAGCGTGAAAGAGACAAAACACAAATCAGAGAGAAATATACACTTTTCTCCCTCCACCCCTACATCGATTTTCTCTCTCTTTCTTCCCAGCAGAGGGTTGTCTCTTCAGTGCAGAGAAGGAACGTTCTGGGCTCAGACCGTGAGTATTCTGAGCTTAGGTGACAGCTGTTTGGAGGAGTGCCTGGAAATACCAGGGGTGTAGCATTTGGGGACTTTGTGACCATGGAAAAACACAGCACCTCCTTCTAGGGAAAAGAAGCACCAAGCTTACCTCTAAGGGTTTGGAAGAGAAAAATTAGAAAATCTTGGTTTTTGAACACACAAATAGCAAAAATCCTAATGCTAAAATTTTTGATTTGCCTCAATAATCTTTTGCTGAGAGTTAAAGTGAGTTTTTAAATTCCAAAAGTTCAGTTTTAAAAATTAAAAGCTTAAACCAGAAGATATAGAGCATAGAATTTACCCCATAAACCATGGAGGAATACAGAACTACATATAACTTATTCTTCTTCAGAAGGTAAGAATTTTAATCCTGTGGACAGACTTCAGGAAATGGGAACATAAAGGGAATATAATAGAGATCAGCTATTGGACAATTTCTCTGGTCTTTTGCTTCCATTTGATAAAGTTGAAAATAGTAGTGAGGTTGAGAGTTGATGATACGAACGCAGAAAGAAGCCCAGCTATGTTTTTCATGAAGACTCACAGAATTGAAGGGACTTCTGCTTGACTTCCTTGGTTGAGCCTTGAGTTCAAGTATCACCGGAAAGTAGTGAATTGAGAAGGGCTTTACATCTACAGTGATTAAAAGTTTAGTGACCTTTCTGTGCAAGGAGACCTGAGGTCATCTCAGTCATTCCCAGTGAGTTCAACACAGCAGAGGAGAGATTCTGACAACTTTTTCTGCCCTAAGAAGTACTCTAGCAGAGACCATGTGTCTGTGTGTGGGGTGATGCAATATGTAATGACATGTTAACCAGGAGGCCCAGCAGAGCCTAAACAAACAGTGGAGATCAAGACCAATGTCCATGGTTCAGATATCTAATAAGGGTGGTTGGTATAGCTTTAAAAAAAAAAATCATCCTGAGTATTTGAGATATTTCTGCTTTTCTGGACCAGCTCTCCCCAGCCTGCCAGCTGATGCAGATCTCCCCAAATTATCATACAGAAAACTGGCCATGTGTTGAATGTTGCCTCGTGCAACCACCAAAGCTCGGTTTGTTCCCCTCTTCCCAACTGTGCTCCTCTCCCTGGGCCAAGTTAAAACTACTATCTGCCTGAAATGTGGCAAATAATGCAAGAAAGCAAAAGGTCAGGTGAACATCAACTAAACTAGAAAAGTTTTTTTGTACTCTGGAATTTCAGGATATATACTTTTCATTTCTTCCGCTGCTTTCTGATATCATTAAAAAATCACATTTGCTTTTTATCCTTTTATCACAATGAGGCTGGGCTCAGGTGGAAATATCTGTAGAGTCTTCATGAAGAGGCCATGGAGGCCTCAGTCACAGCCACCGGGAACCTCTTCTGAGTAAACAGGGGCCAGGGCGTCAACAGGACAGCCTCCCAGAACCTCTTCCTTCCTCCCCACTTAGGGTGCTCATGCCCCACAGACTTTCCAGTGAACGGCTGCCATGTCCTCCCTGGAGCATCCGCTCAGGTTCTCTGCTCACCTCATGGCTGCACAGAATCTCGGTCATGTCTTTGGGAGGAGACCCTAGTGTGGGCCTGTTGCCACCTGCTGCCACTTAATCCCTTCAGGCACTGCTTCATGCCTTTGACCTGCTATCATAACTCTCACTAACCATTAGAAAAATGGAAAGCTGTCTGCACAGTGTGATTTTTGGCTGTTGAATAGTGTGTCAAAGCTCACGAGAGGCTCACGTACTTACAGCACCATAATAATATTGCCTAATAATCCTATTTGACTTTCCTTGTCACTGAATTTTTTCTGATTAGTTACTCAGTTCCCTTCATTCACTCTCAGACTTTTCTCTTGTGAAGCTTCCAATGGTCATTTTTCCCCCCAGATGACATCATCCCGATGATGCGAATTTGAACATGTATCCATCACATTAACTAATTTATGTAGAATTAAAGCCCTGATTTTTTAGTTTAATTTGCACTTCTTTTATTAGTATGTCAGAGTGGAGTTGAAGATGATTGATTTCAGACCACCTTTAATAATATATAAATTTAGTGCTATAAATTCTGGGCTAAATATTCACTGCTTTCTTCTATCCCACATATTATGATATGTCATGTGTTCTTTTTTCAGTCAAACATAGCTCCTAATTTTCCTTTTGTCTATTTCCCATAACTTTTAATTAGTAATACATTACTTAGTTTCAAATATTTGGATATTTATCTGATAACTTTCTATTACCTATTTCTAATATAATTCTCTGGTTCTCAGAGGATATTTGTTGTATGATTTGAATTCATTTAATTTTATTGAGATTCCTTGCAATGCACAATATGGTTTATCCTAGCAAATGTTTTGAAAAGAATATGCAAAGGAGAAGAACAGAGTTGGAGGACTGACATTACCCAACTTCAAGACTTACTATAAAGCGACAGTAATCAAGAAAGTTTAGGATTGACAAAAAATGGACTAATAGATGAATGGAACAAGATAGAGAGCCCCAAAATAGTCACACATAAATATAGTCAACTGACCTTTGATAAACGAGCAAGCGTGATACAATTGAGCAAAGATAGTCTTTACAACAAAGGGTCTGAAACAACTGGGCGTCAACATGCAAAAAAATGAATCTAGACACAGACCTTACTCTCTTCACAAAAATGAACTCAAAATGGACCATAGACTTAAATGTAAAATACAAAACTATAAAACTCCTAGAAGATAACTTAGGAGAAAACCTAGATGACCTTGGGATAGGTGATGACGTTTTACATACAAACCAAAGGTGCAATCCAGGAAAGAAAGCAAGGATAATCTAGATTTCACTAAAAAGAAAAGCTTCTGCTCTACAAAACACAATGTCAAGAGAATGAGAAGACATGCCACAGACTGGGAGAAAATAGTTCAAAAGATACATCTGATAAAAGACTGGTATCTAAAACATACAAAGAGTTTTTAAACTCAACAATAAGAAAAGAAAGAACACAACTGAAAAATAGGACTTTTCACACACACCTCACCAAAAAAACGTATATATAGATGGCAAATAAGCACATGAAAAGATGCTCTATATCTTATGTTATTAGGGAAAGGTAAATTAAAACGATGATAAGGTACCACTATATACTTATTAAGAAGGCCAAAATTCAGAACAAATCCTGGTGAGGATGCGGAGCAACGGGGACTCTCATATATTGCTGGTGGGAATGCAAATTGGCACAGCCACTTTAGAAGACAGCTCGGCAGGTTCTTACAAAACTTACATACTCTTACCATACAACCCAACAACAACACTCCTTGGCATTTACCCAAAGGAGTTCAAAACATGTCTACACAAAAACACACACATGGATGCTTTTAGCAGCTTTATTCATAATTACCAATCAGGTGCATCTAAGATCCTCCAGTAGGTGAGTGGATAAATAAACTGTAGTACCTCCAGACAATCAAATATTATTCAACACTCAAAAAAATGATATATCAAGCCATAAGAAGACATGAATCAACCTTAAATGCATATTGCTAAGTGAAAGAAGCCAATCTGAAAAGGCTGCATAATGTATGATTCCATCTGTATAACATTGTAGGAAAGGCAAAACTATGGAGAAAGTAAAAAAGATCAGTAGTTGCCAGTGTTTGGAGAGGAGGGGTGATGAATAGGAGCACAGAGGACTTTTAAGGCAGTGAAAATATTCTCTATGCTACTATAATGATGGATACATGTTATATTGTCTAAACCCATAGAAGGTACAACACTAAGAGTAAATGTTAATGTAAACTATGGACTTTGGGTGAATATGACGTGTCAATACAGGCTCATCAATTGTAATAAATATACTACTCTGATGGAGAATGTTGATAATAGGGAGCCTACGCGTAACTGGGGGCAGGGTGTATATGAGAAATCTCTGTACCTTCCTCTCAATTTGCTGTTAACCTAAAACTGACTAAAAAATAAAGGAAAAAATAGGGAAAAAAAGAAACAGAAAAAGAATAAGCAATCTCCTGTTGTGGTGGAGTGTTCCCTAAATGTCAATTATATAAAGATGTTGATGGTGTTATTCAAGTCTTCTATACCCTCACTGGCCCAGGTGGCAGGGCTATTTGCAATGCAGTCTGGACCTGCAGCAGCCCCACTGCTGCTATGGGCCCCACTAAAGCTGGCATATTTTCATATCACCTGGCGTTTGGGATGCACCAATACTCCTAGACATGGGACGCGTTGTCTCCAGAACACAAAGAGGTCGACTAGGAGCTCCTTTCCTTTAAAGACAAAGACACTCATTAAACACACTGGAGTAGAATGTGTACTCCTCCCTCACTCACTCTATTTATAGGGCACACTAGAGAGCTATGCTATCAGTGGTGAAAATATTTTGTGTGATTTGTTTTAAGTTGTACAGGGAAACGTCCAGAAATATGAGCTGCAAGGCAACTCCAAGTAGAAGAAATCAGTCTCTACATGTCAGCCAAGAAAGGTCCGTGTGAGGTTACTATTCAACAGTTACTAAAAAAGACATAGGATTTGCCTGAGATTTCATGCAATGAGCAGGAGAAATTAGCACGATGAGGGAGAATGATAAAGCTTTTGCCTGATTCCATCTCATGATCCACCTTATTTAACAAACAGTTAAACAACCCATGGGCTAAATCCATTGAGGATAAGTTGAGAAAGAAGAGTCATATGTTTTACTTGTCTCCTACAGCTTAGCACCCCAAGAAAAATCCACACATAAGGGAGCAAAGCAACACCTTGGACAGCGGGGCCCATCTTCCACAGTCACAGAGACAGTTGAGCACTGTGCATCAACTTGCAGAGAACTGCTGTTGTTCTTTTACATGAGATACTGTGGTGCACCTTACAGACAACCCAGACCCTGTTCAGGAGAATTATGCACACCTGAGCCACACCCCCTCCATTCCAGGTGTCTGTTTATACTGTGTGTGGGGGGGGGTAACACAACCACAAGAACAGGCACATCTGTGACACCCCCAGGGCAGGTCCTCAGGGCAGGACCGTGTAAGGACAGGAAGTCCAGGGGGAGGCTCTGGTCAGCGGTGTCACCAGGAGTGACCACAGCCCTAGAGTCCACCAGCTCCACCATCATCCTTCATGGGGATTTGCATCAACCTTCTCACTGCACCTACTACAGGCCTAGTACTGTGGTCAAAGCCTCATAAATGGGTCTCTTCTAGGGACAGGGTCAGAGGAGTCTCTAGAGGATGAAAGGCAGCAAGATGGTGCCACCATCCCAGAGGCTGCGGCTCCTGGTCCTCTGTGTTCCAGGTGACAGAATGTCCCCAAGTGAGGAGTTTCCTCAGGGGCAACCATCACGCTCCCTGAGAAGACTTGTGGGGAGGGGACAGGAAATAAATGCCACCAACAACACAGGTCTGGTTAGGGTCTAGCCTCACACTTACAGGTACATTCTGGCATTAATAGAATCGCAGCATCTCTGGATCAGCCCCATGTTCCTCTGATTGCAGGTTCCATCAGGCAACTTGTGCTCACCCAGGCTCCAGAGTCCTTGCCCGTCTCCCTGGGAGAGAGAGTCTCCATCAGCTGCAGGTCCAGCGAGAGCCTCCTCTACTCAGATGGGAAATATTATCTATCCTGGTACCAGCACAGATCTGGGAAGGCCCTAAAGCTCTTACTTACCCCACCTCCACCCAAGTTAACAAGATGCTCACCAGGATCAGTGGCAGAGGGTCTGGGACAGACTTCACTCTCACTATCGGAGGCCCGGAGCCTGAGGACTTTGCAGTCTAGTACTGTCTCCAAACCCTGAAGAGTTTTCTCACGGTGGTTGAGCACTGAGCACTAACTTCCCCCCCGGGGCAAGCCCACAGCCCCAGCTGCCCCAGTTGCTCCTTGCTCAGGAGCTCCTCTGACAAAAATAGCTGAGCATAGTCAGTACACGGACGTGTGAAAAACAGTTAACGGCACTGGGCACAGACTGCCTGGAACCCTCTCATTTCCCCTTCTTCCCCTTTGTGGTCTTAAATATTTTGCACAGAAGATACTTCAAAGACATAAGAACAACTAGACCATAAATTAAGGCAGAGAGAAGGATGAGGGATTGATAAGTTCTCTCTCTTGCCAAAGTCTTCTTCTCTGGAGTCTCCTCTGAACATTGGGGCAGCTCTTTCTCCGTCTCCTTCATTTGCTTCCCTTGCTTCCCTCTCAACTTCTAACTTGGGGCAGCAGCTCTAGGCCATTTGCTGGCACAGGCCTGTCCACTCCAGTCAGACCAACTTCATTTCCGATTTGCCCATCTCACTGCTTCTCCACATATGCTCTGATCTCTGAGCACACTGATGTTCTCTGTCACTTTCAGCTGAGCATTCACAACTCCATGGCTTTGGGTCATGAACAGAGCACTTGGGTCACAACTCAGCCTGTGGCTCAGATGTAAGAAGGTGCTAGGTCACTGGCTGTCCTATTGCCCAAGGTAATATCAACCCTGCTTTTACTAATTGCCTGTTTACACAAGGAAGGACTCCTAATATAGGCATGATTTGCAGCAAGAGGTTACTCTTTACCATAAAAAACTCAAGATTTATGACTTACGCAAGAGAAACTCATCAAAAGAGTTGACAACCAAGAAATGGGACACCCAGGCATAGAGAGATAAAGGATGCATATTCCTAAAAATCAGTAATTAAAATGGAGTTCCTATTTCTCCATTGTCCTCCCATTTCTGATTTTTAAAACTCTTGTACTATATCTTCTGAAAATTCATTTGTTATCACAAAATTCTCTTCAATAACGCTGTCCAATAGAAGTCTATGCAATGATTGAAATGTCCTACATTTGTGCTGAGGAATACAACAGCTGCTAGAGTTTAGTGACTACAGCCATGTGGCTATTGAGCATTTGAAATGTGGTTACCATACTGGAGAACACGGATTTGTTATTTATATAATTTTAATCAATTTAAATTTAAATTTGAATAGCCACGCATGACGAGTAGTTGACGTTTTGGAGACTTCAGCTCTAATGCCTCAGTCCCTTCTTTGAAATTTTTCATAACTTTTTTCCCTCACTGAAACCTGATTCACCCCAGGATACTGTTTTCCCTGCAGCCCTCTCACGTGGTGGATGTTTGCTCCCCACACTCTTAATACCAGTGACTACAGAGTTTGAATAAGTGTGTCCTTCTTGTTCCGCACTGCCACTCCCAGATTATTCTCCTCATTTTTCCCTCAAAATGCTCTGCTTTAAATATCATGTCATTAAACCATAGTACCTAGTATTCTCTTTCTTTTTGAAGTCATACTAGAAACTCAAAAATAGACCCATGAGAGAAAACACTGGAGAAAATTTCTGAGACACAGGCATCTCCAGGAGGAATCAGGTCATGAGATTTTTACCAGGGTCTCTACACAAACAGTTTCCCCTTGCTTCACCCTTGGTGCTTTGTAGGATCATCCCACTTCCCCGGGCACAGCCCCCCCAGCTCAGAGTACTTTTAATTGCAACTTGAGGAGGTCTGGTGCACAGCACCAATGGGTGGCTAAAGGGAAGGGAAGTAATGTCACTGGTCCAGATTCTTGATCTCCTGCTACTCTGAGTTCCAAGTGAGAAAAATGAGCCAAATTACAGAAATATAATGAATAAATAATTCCTTTAGTGTGTCTTGTGTCTCACTAGGAACGTGATTTTGAGATGTAACAAGGAATAACATTTTAAAAAAGTCACAACATTATTTAATTCTACAGCTCTCACATTGCAGAGATGAGCTTTTCTATTTCATTTCTTCTTTAATAAACAACCTGTATAACGTTATAGGTTCAGTCTCTGCATACAGGTTCCTCAGGGCAGATTCCTCTTACTAGACTCCAGAGTCACAAGCTCTGGCCCAGAACAGCAAGTCACCATCAGCTGCAGAGCCAGCCTGAGCTCCTGCGCATTGATAGGAGGAACCATCTAGCCTGGTTCCAGCACCAGCCTGGAGAGTTCCTGTGCTCCTCATGGGCCAGCTCAACTGAGTTCATGAGGTGCTCCTGGTTCAGTGGTGGTGAGTCTTGAAATAACTTCCCTCCAGGCATCAGCAGCGATGAGTGTGAGGATGTGACAACTTATTACTGTGGTAAATCATATAAATATCTGTACCTAATGAGTCCTATCTTCACCAAAGCTTCCCCAAGAGAATGCTAAATAAAGCTTAACCAATGTTCCCCCTTCTACCCCAGCATGACAGAGTTAGCATCTGTGGGCCTGTTCAGAGGAATCATA